CGGCAATATTTAGACAACTTGCACGACTGTTGTCTGGTCGCCACCGTCGCTCATAGTTGGCGGTAGCTCTCCTGAATTTTGTGTCAAGTCATTTGAGGACGGACACGATCCTGGGGAAACTAGCCCTTCACAGCTCCGCTGTAAACAACATTTTTCGTTCTATGCACTAGTTTCTATTTAACAAAAAAAAAAAAAAAGAAATCCTTTTCGGGTACTTTTTAATTCTTATACCATTTTCCGAGTTTGCGCGAGTAGTGATGTAAAGCAGGGGAACGCAGAGTTTCCGGTAAGGCTCTGTATTCAGGGCCTCAGCGAATATCGACATTTCAAGGTCTGGTTCCTGCAAAATAGGACACCGCGCCCGGTGAGTATCACCTAAGGTTACGGTGGGTTCTTGAAGTTGAAACGAGAGAGACATTTGAAGTGCAGGCTTTTCTCATCATCCAACAAACCTGGTTCATAACTGAGATGATAGCAGCGGAGAAAGGATGATTTGTTGATTTTAGGTAGATGGTGCCACGCAGACTTAAAAACGCTTCTGGCGAAAATATGAGGCTCTTGACACGATTATTCGCACTTAAACGACAAGATTTTTTTTTGTTTTTAATTAAGCATAAATTTATCACAGAATTGGACAACTTGCTAAAATGCAACACTGTCCTTCCGAAGACGTCGCATCAAGGTCCCCATGACCGCCATACGTGGCTGCATTCCGGGAAATAATACATTTTCTCCTTTTCAATAACTCAGCGGAATTGCAGTGTTTTAGGGAAAGGTGACACTTTTTTACGCGATGGGGTTTAGGAGCTCGTGTCGCGAAAATATTTTTTCACGTTTTAATGCATCAAAATATTTCGACTATTTCATTTTTGTTCTCCAGTATCTCAATTCTAATCAGCCGAAGGCATTCGATATGCCAGCCCAATGTCGAGATATTCTACGCGGTTCAATGCACTGCGTAATTTCTGCTACATCCCAAACTTTAAAAATCATTGCTTCGCAAGAAATTCTCGAATTTTGGCAGCTTTGGATTTCCACCCACTTCGCAATTTCGTCGGCTTAAAAAAAAAAAAAGAGCTTCGTTTACTAAATTTCAGAATTTCTCTTGAAGGCGAAAATAATGTTCGACTAAAATTTGGGGAATGAGAACCATATATTTTCATAAAATGACAGTGAAGAAATATCTTGCAGTCGCCGTTTCTATCGGGTGGGTCGGATGTGTGCTAACAGAGCCAACTATAGTACAAATCTGTACAGACAAATTGCCGTGAGTAAATCAAGTTGAAGTCCTTATACAGTACCCTTTAAAAGTTATGACGTACTTCCTCCCTGAAAATTAGGGACTGGGAACTCACGTTCAATGGGAGTCGATATGCCAGGGGAAGACGCAGTAGACCATATTTACGACACGGCCGCCAGATAATCGGGACTACATCCGGGTCATTCCGCCCGATGATGACAGACTGCCGGGGTGTTTTTCAACAAGCTCGTTGGTGTTTTCGAGGCCTTTTGCGCTTAAAAGCGTGTATTCGTGAACAAAACCAGATTCTTAAGACTTCAGGTGATATTGGTAACTGTTTTTTCCTTGCGGAGTGTGTAAGAGTGTTTGAATGAGTGAAAATCGGGTGTATTCTGCCCCTAAATATTACTCAAATACATTCCTTTTGCTAACAATGTACGCCCCGTCATTTGGAAGCCGCCTGCGCGCGCCGACTGCCGCCTGTTACCTTAGAGGCTTCCGTGGGTCATACTTGGTCTTGCTTTTTGAGTTCTTTTTCTTCTCCCCTCGTGTGCACTAAACTAAAGCGTTGGACAGCGGATTGCACGATCTGGGTTTCAATTCCCACTGAGCCAGATTGATAAATATGACTTGTTATAATTAATTGCGTCTAATAATAAGTACGTGTGATTAATTTTGGCTATGAATGTCGCCTGACATGCCTGTGCCTGGCATGTATTCCTCGACGGTTGTCTTAATCAACTTTGATTTGATTTGAACATAATAGTAAACCTGAAACTGTGGTAGGAAAAAAGAAACGCAGGAAGAGACAGAAAAAAAACAGGCGACGTCTCAAAGAATGTCTTCTCCTTAAATGCTTTAGCATTGCCTAATATGGGCTGTGTAGTCTTTATGTGGCCTAGGCCCGTGTGTAACGTTTTTTCTTCATGAAATCCAGCCCATAAAAATATTCGATCAAAAAAATATAAATTGGATAAATATGAGCAAAACTTTGTCAACAAGGCAGAACGCTAAACGAGTTTGTTGATCATCTTACAGGGCGGGAACTGGAACAATTGACAAAGAACAACAAACAATAAGTGCACAGACACACCGCACTAAATATCAACAGAAGGATTATTTTCCAGTGAACCAGGGAAGTACACGCAAGAAAGAAAAAAAAAATGAGACGAAACGACAGATAAAATCTCCGCGCCATATCACTTTCACACCAATCTGCAAACAACTCTTAATGAAACATACTTCGTCACCCCCAAGGGATAATGACGGTGCACTAATACATTCGTCTTCCCCTCTCGATGGAAGGAAAAACGACGCGCCAGGATCATCAAACCATTGCACGAAGGGGCTGCGTTCAATGAGTTGACGATCTTGGCACGTAAGATGATGACCTCCGAGATGATCGATGAGGCCTTTTTTTATTTGTTTGAGAGAAGACAAATGTGTTAGTGCACCGTCTGTATACTTGGGAGAGGGGGGGGGGGGGGTGACAAAGCACGTTTTATCAAGAATGGTGTGCAGATTTGTGTGAAAGTGATAGGCGCGTTAGGAGTTTTTTTATCGGTTATTGTTTCTTCTTTTCATTATTCCTCCATTGCGTTTCCTATTCTGGTATGCTGAGGAATACACCTTCAGTTGATAGCGCTGTGTTTGTACACTTCTTGTTTTTTTGTCCGTCAATTTACGCTATTCCTACCTTGTAACAAAAAAGTTGTCCTTAACCGCCGCGAAAGGGAGCCAGAACGACCGGCAGCGCGTCACTTCGATACTTTGTGCTGTTACGTGAGCCTTGTAACTAACGAACCCCGGCTCCTCCAGAGATAAACTCACGAAGTACACACAGCTGGAACAGAGTGGCTATGCATCTTCTCACAATGTGTCAGGCCATGGCAAAGCGGCATCATGAGCCGGCCGTGGACCAGCAAACAGTTACCTATTCGCCACTCCAAACAAGGTGACGCCGCCCAGCGAGAAAAACGTGGAGTGAGCGAGATGTGACCGCCTAATCAAGTCTAAAAAAAAAAAAAAATACTGCAAGCAGTTGTTGGCGTGTCTGCAGCAACTGCCATTCTCTCAGCGTGTAAGCTTAAACACGAGTCCTCAAGTATTCTTGAAAGGGTTATTGCATTAAAAATGACATCGTAGGATATGGCACTTCCATACTTTGTTTCAATTGGCGTCCAGACGCAGCCGACGCTACGAGTTGGTGGAACAAGTCAAACAGCGTGAAACGCGTGTCACTCTGTCTTTCGTGTATATGATTGGTTTATCGATGATAGGAGACATACGACGCTTTACGAAAACCATGACGTTGGACTTTGGACGCTGTTTGATTTGTCCCATCGTCTCGTAGCGTCGGCTGAGTCTTGACTTAAAGGGACACTAAAGTTATTTTTTGAGATCTTCGTTTTATTGGGACAGCTCAATCTACAAGCACTCCTAAAACAAGAATGACCGCATCTCCACGTGGTGAATGATGTTGATTGGGGCACTGGTGGTGCTGATGATACCGATTTTATTGTTCATAGGTGGTGCTGATGGTGCTGATTTTTTTATTGCTCACAGGTAGTGCTGAGTTCCGGGTTGTGTTTCGACTTGATTATTACTGCTTTATGGTCGGTGAAGTGCAGAGCCAGTGGTTCTTTTAGCGGATCAGCTTGGATCCGCTAGAAGCCGTGGGAACGCATCTCCATCGCTTAAGTCAGCGGTACTTGTCAGAAAAATAATCTGTGGTATGGAACGTGGTTATATACGCACTTGAGCACTTGACCGCAGCGCCCTCTCGTCTATAAACGTTGAGCCAATACATGCAAAGTTCAACGCGATTATATACTCATTTGACCGCAGCACCCTCTCCTGTATAGACGTTGAGCGGGTACATGCAACGTTTCATCCATGACATCCCCAGCTCTTGAGTTACTACCACATCTCAGAGCCCCCTACTCGTCCCGCAGTCGTGGCCGAGTGGTTAAGGCGATGGACTAGAAATTGATTGGGGTCTCCCCGCACAGGTTGGAATCCTGTCGACTGCGCAAACATTTTTTTCTTTTTATGTGAGCACGGACGCCGGACGGACGGACAAGTCTAGACCCTAAGGAACTTCGCCCCTAAAAAAACGAAAATTACATTCATGCGCGACGGGTTTGCCGATTAGGAAGTGATGAAAGATTCCGACACGTGCCGTTGCGCATAACGACGGATGGCGCTACCGAACCTTGCTGAATACGGTCGAACGACGGACGGCGCTTGTCAGCCCGAGCGAGGGGTTCCCGTGTGGACGAGCGGGAGCGGTCGGTTGCTCGTCCGCGCAGGAACTAAACGCTCGCGACTGGCTGACAAGCGCCGTCCGTCATTCGTTCATATTCAGCATGATTCTGTAGCGCCATCTGTCGTTCTGCGGCAACGGGTAGTGCGTGTCGCAAGCTTTGACCACTTTTAACACGGAAATCGGCTACTCATGATTGTAGTTTCAGATTTTTTAGGATGCTTAGAGCTCGTAGATGGAGTAATGACCATCAAAACAGGATCTCAAAAGGCACTTTAGTATCCCATTTACGTGAAACAAAGTGTAGGAGCCAGAAGGTTACTGTTTGCGTCGGTTATAGCTAGAATAAGTTATTGTTGTCCCTATCGTAGCTCACAAGCTGAGTTGCTTACGTTGATTAGCGCCTGCATATGAGAGCTTTTGGATTGGAGTAGGAACATTGAAAAATGGTGTAATTGAAGGGGTGTATGCGCTAACATAACCGGGAAATTACAGGAAGACTGGTGGCCGTGAAGGATGTGCGCAATGTGGACAGCCCGTGCGAAAAGAACGCGTCGCAACTGCTGCACCGCCATGTCGTGCGAACTCTCTATGTGACTTCTCTGGAGCCAAGGCGCTTCCTGGTCGTCATGGAGTATGGCGGGCCTCGGACGCTGGAGCACATTCTAGAACAGGGGCCCCTGCGTCTCCAAGAAACGCTACGGTAAGACCCTTCGCAAACGTCTCTCGGTGAGAGCAATCAACTCTGCTTAAACATTGCTCGTGTACCGCTCTTCGTGCAGAGCGGTACTTGAGAGTGGATGTTTAACTCTCCTGATCACGATATTTCTTAATCTAGAGGCGTCGCCGCTTGCATATGTCCCACGCTTTCTTTGAGTCAGTTTAACTACAATAGACGAGTTGCGTTGAACGTGTTTACTGAATTAGTGTTCTGAAATAATGTCATTGTTACGGATATCGCCAATTCGCGATGCGATTGGTATGCAGACGGACATCCCTTAAGTCACTGAAGGATGCGACCCGAGCAGTGGAAAGTGCCTCGTGAGCGGTGGCCTCGAAGTGTATGACCGACGCATATATCAACATTGTGGTTCGGGGCTGCCTTCCACTGCACCTTGAGATGCCCGCACAATCGCATAATGACTGAAGGTCACTGTTTGGCGAAATGCGTACGATATTGAGGGAATCTTTGTAGAATAATCTTGAATCGGGTGTGTCCAATCAGTCTTCGAGACTTGAAATAGACCAGTGACACGATGCTCTAGTCATTATTTCTGTCGCGCTTTTGTGGTCTTCTTTTTTTTTTTTTTGTGACTCGGTAGATTAGGCATTAGCTACTATCAGTATTATACCGGTTCTTGCAAAACAGGAACGAAAGCTCGTTTCCTCATCGTTTCTTCTGAGTCTTAGAACGAGTTTCCGTTACAAGTTCCAGTGGTTTAAAACATAGCCTCCTTTATACTGAAAATGCCTGCCCAATGGTTTCTTTGTCGTCGTCGTGCTTACGTCACAGATTTGCTACTAGGGGCGCCAAAACCCTATACAGAAATGCAGACGACGCTTGTCCGCTGCCTGCGGCTACAGTTCACTGTAGCTAGCGTAAGCTACGTTATCCGTTAAGCTACGTGATAATGTAAGTTTCCCATGTTAAGTTACGCTGTAACGTGACCTTGCGTGATCAAATAGGTCACTTGATCACGTAATTTTTTTGTGACACGAGTAACTGCTTTCGGTCGTCCTTCGGCCGGCAGATAGAGCGCTTAGCAATTGCCGGCTAGGGTGCCTACATGTTTGTCTGTTTCAGGGTGAAGACATCCATTGTTGCCCTGAGTGTGCCAGCGCGTGACGCTCTCGCGCACTCGTTGCGTGACTTGGGCGGTAAAATGGCGCCTATGCATTAGCCAAAGCTACGCGCTCGAGCTGAGTGACACCAGATTGCCCGCACTTCAAAATGCATAAAAAAAGATTAGGCGGAAAAATGGCTGAGATGTCACCACTCAAGCAAAAGCGCGCGTGTGTATGAAGGCACTCTATTGCCGGCATAGCTCAGTAGCACGAGGCTGTCTGCGGCTCGTGGCACGCACACCGCGACGCCACACGTACACGCGCGGTCATTTCATTTCATTTATTGATCGTGGGCACATCAGCACCTTGTACTTAGTCCTGACACCTTGTGCTGCATTCTAACTCGCATGATACCTTACTGTTGTGTGCCTATGTGCAACTCGGACTCGCGAGTTGCACTTCCTATTGGTCATTAAGCAGGCTTTTATGGCTCCTTGTAATTCCCTCCTTCGGCACCAGGACAGGGGAGGACTATACTATCCATCAGAGAAGCTAGCGAAAGTGTTGTGTGCGCTGGAAGAACTTCGTAGATTTTACGGAAAAAACGAAATATGCTGAAAAAGCCGTTGCATGCAGCTGGTGATACTGCGGTGGATACAGTTATACACCATGGCGCTCTAAAATACGCAAAGGTAGAGAAAGATGTCAACCATTACAAAGATTTCCTGCAACTAGGTATTAGGTATTTCAGGCCAATTTTTACAAACTACTCGGCATCCCTGACTGACAAGCATAACCCCAAGAAGATCTTCGCCAGCAAGCCACTATCTACGAAGTCGTTAAAACTCTAGAACTGCATACGTGAAAAACAGTGCGGACCACAAGAGACCGGTCAAAAACATCAAGGGGCTGTGCGCTTAAAAAAACAAATTGAAAATGTATATCAAGATCCCCGGTCAGAGTGCTGCCGACGGGTGCGCAGGTTTTCGGTCAGCGGGGACGCGTTCGCGGTCCTGAGAAAAACCACTTGACTGCCGCATGTAGTCCGCGGGCCGTTTGTTTTTCGGCTCTGCTCCAGTAGCAATAAAAACGCTAAGTGGTCGCTGTATCAACGTTTTGGAAGTCCGCCAGCCTGTCTGTCTCCTTTTTAATTGGCATTGACTATTTCTGTTGTCGATATGACAAGCACCAGAGGTATGGTAGCATTTCAGCATAGAAACAAAACCAAGACGTGAAAGCTAAACGAAAGGTATAAGACTTCTTTTATATATGAAATTGATACTGACGGTGCCCTGCGCCTGCTATGTAGCATGGGTTACGTATGTATTCAATTCACAAATGGCATCACAGTGGACTGGCAGCGGGAAGCGAAGAAGAGTCGTCTGCATTTTTGTATGGGGTTTTGGCGCCTCTAGTAGCAAATATGTGAAGCAGGCGCAACGACGACGAAGCATGGGGAAGCCAACCAGTGGGCAGGCATTATCAGTATAAAGGAGGCTACGCTTAAAATGGACGCGTTCCCGTTGCGTTTTAAAGATTGGAACGGGTCGCTACGTTAGCGTTACATTTCCGCAATGTAATGAAATATTGTGCTGGATAATTCGTAAATAAAATAAATCAAGCAAGTAAAAACATCCACATCCAGCTGAATTTCGAGTCGCAGCAAACACATAGTTTCAGTTCTTGGTTTTCAACTATCTCTAGAACACTTTCCATCCCTTGAAATCGGAGTTTGAAATAGCCAGTAATAGAAAGCCTAAATGCTTACTAAAATTGAATACCATTCTAATAATGAATGTCGTTCCCTCGAAAATGTAACGGTTTCCGTTCTAGTTCCACCAACGCAAAATAGAACGTCGGCGCTGCTCCACTCCTCCTAAGAAGACGCATTTAAAAAATGTCATTTCTGGGAATGACGTTATGCCGTTGCTAGAGCACTGCGCACCACAGGGAGTGGCGGAATCTTTCACGTTTGTTATTTACTACTATATTTTTGGCATCTCTCTCTCTCTCTCTCTCTCTCTCGATGGCGTTATTTTTCTACCCTCTCTCGGTCGAGAGCATCTTATTAATTTTATTATAATCTGAGCATCATCGTTTACTATTTGCATCTTAGACGTTTTGTGCGTTATATACACTTTTTTCAGATCGCAGTGAAGTCAGAGCTTGAGGGAGCTTCTATCCTTAGAAAGGAAATTGAATTTTTGTGGCCGACTACTATACTTAAAAGAAGGGAAGAGAAACAAGGATGACGCGAGGAGGGCCAAGGCTTGTCATTTTTTTTAACTTGGACACAGATTTTGAAGCTTGTACTGAAATATTAAAACATCGTTTATTTCTACCATGAGCGATGGGGGCAACAGAGGAAAACAATTGATTTCATACAGCTTGACGAGCCCTAGGTACGCCTACAATGCAAGCAACAACATCATAATAAAAATATATTATTATTAATAAATATAAAACAAAACACATATCAACTACACAGACGATATACGATTTCATAAAATGTTAAGTATGGCAGTTTTGTTTAGTTATGTGACATCACTTTCTACGGACGCAAGATGAGTGAATTGTTCAGGCATTTAACGGACAACCCTTTGACGTCTCAAAGTAGTGCGTGATTCGGGAATTTGCCATGGATGGTATCTGACGAGTTTGACGCACTGAATTCTGCAAACGAAGGCCAGCCAGGTTTAGGAAAGTTTCGAATTTCCCTTTTGGGGAAATCAAAGGAACATTAGCTACCGCTTGATTGACCTGGTCGCAAAACAAAAGGGAAAGGAAACGCAGATGGAGGCAGAAACGATTGCATAAAGTACGATACAGGCATGGCGAATCACGGAACACTAAACACGAAACGTTGCTCAACGAAGCCAGGCACCAGACATCCCACTATACATACTTACACGTGCGCGAACTATGGTTTGTAAGTGTTGTCATATCACACTAGAAAAATAAAGAATAAAAAAGTAATCGACATATGGTGGGTGAAAATACCAATCGATCGAGATGTACCGTCCAGAGAAATACGCAACAATTATTAAGCTTTTTTTTTTTTTTAATAGCGTGTATGTTCCGAAGTACTCATAATGTTTTCCTAGTTAAAAGGTTCTTTTATTAGTTTTCGAACAGTATCGTCTGGCGTAAAAAAAAAAATAAATTCATGAAATATCTGGCAGTTGTCTGCAGACACGCCACAATGTTGAGAACTGAGACTGGCTATATGTCCAAACTTGTGCCTTTAGGTATTAGTGTAGGTTGCATTCAAACGCAAGCAATTCGAATGTGTTTCAAAATTTCGAGGCAGGTCATTCGGAAGCGTGTTTTTCAGCTGAGAATTTATCATACACAGCAGTTTATAGGGGTGGGCTGGCTATAGCCACAATTCATGGAACTAAACCAAGGATGCAGGCGAGCTGGTTGAGTGTAGACATTATTTTAACCCTAAAGGAAGGGGACAAAGAGGTTTGTGTAGTGCTATTCTCCTTGTCCCCACCCTCCAGGGTCAAAAGAAAGTCGTGGACTCTTCTTTTCCTAGAGGCTCATTTTTCTTACTTTGTAATTTGAACTTTTTCCGGTGTTTCAAACACCTGTCCTCGTGCTGTCACGTCATCTGCTGCATGGTTTTCTGGTATTCTTGTTGAGGGAACTCAAGTATCGCTCTGTCTTTAGCATCTTCTTTGGTTCGCCTTGCGGACGAAGAGTCATTTTGTTGACTGTACTCTGCCGCTCCTCTTCTTTCATTTGCATTGCCCGCGATGGTGGTTAGTTAGATCAGCTTACACCGAAAGTGATTTGTTTAGTTTATACATACCCATCAGTTTATTTCGTCCCTAATCGTTGTTTGGTGATTTGAACTCCTGACTCTTGGAGGCTGATCATAAATATTTTCGGACTCCCTAAGTTGATCGATTCATCAGCAGGTGTTCCGTAACAGTACTAAATCTTGGTAGAGATTAACTTGCCGCCCATCATCCTTGCAAGGCGTTGCTGGATTTGCAGCAGAATTTTTATTTTGCTTCGCAAATTCGAGGTTTTGGGCGTTGAGTGAACTTCCTTACCGGCATTACAAGCTTCAATATTTTTGACCTGCTTCCTTTCATGACCAGCAACATACTGGATGGTGGGACAAACAGACTCTACTTAGGAAAGGGTTTTGCGGTAATGGAAATTGGAAGTTGTTATCATCGCGTTAAATAATATAGCGGCTAACAAAAATTATGGTGACATAAGAAAACTTGATTTACGTTTGTTTGCGTGCTAGACGAAGATGTCTAGTTTTGAGAGGCTAACAGCCGAACTGATCGCAACCAGTAAAGGGGGGGGAGGCTCCCCCCCCCCCATATACTGATTGCGATCTCGGGAGTGAATGGGGGGGGGGGGGGGAGGGGGGGCGCTACAAAAGACCGAAGGGTCCCGGGTGCCGTATGGCCTAGCTACGCCACTGGTAGCAGAATTTCGAAATGGTTCCTACTCAAATCAAGTTGAACGCGCGTAATAATATAAAACTTACGCTTTGGCCGCATTCGAGTAGTCTTTCGAGTTATGTTTTCAGAACTAAAGGACAAGACTTCGTATAGGGTTTGAAGATCTGTAATACTTCAAGAGATAAGACACCGGCTGTACGAAAATAAAGCTTGTTGAATTCCGAAGCTTTTCTAGGATTTGATTAGTTTTCTACGGAATTTTTGTTTTATTCGTTTAGAAGATGAAATTTTATAGCGACCAGTAGTAGGTTTGTGGAGTGAGCGACCCTTCCGATTGAGTGTAAACGCAGTATATGCGCAGCTGCAAGGCAGCGGCCGGGCCCCTACCACAAGGGCCGGTTTGCTGATTAATGCAGGTAACTTTTCCGGCGGCTCACTCACACACTGGAGAAATTTCGATCGCACATGAGCGGCTCCGTGGGAGGAGAAACTAAGTGTATCCATCGTCGCACGCAAGTGGCTGCTGCAATACCGTTCTCCCTTCGATTATTCAAGTCCAATTCCGCGCGCAGAAAAATAACTGAGGAGACTTGAAATGTAACTGTACTGAACCGTATCCGTCTGTCTACTTTAGAAGCGGTGCGTAAAGTGATTTCTGGGAGTAGTCGTGTTTAGTAAGAATTAAGGAAGACGACCGGGGCAGGGCTTACATCTAATGTGCGGAATTGGCTAGAATGCTAGGTACTTTCTAACTACGAAGCTGGTCTCGTGACCTCAAATTTTTTCTTTCGGGCGAGTTGAGCACCGGGAGTGATACCCGCATCGATCAGCAAACCGGCCCTAGTTCTTCACAAGCACGTAGAGAGACAGTTAGTCATGCGCTCTCTGGACCAAAGAAACTGGAGTTTTTTCTATCGCCAAATTCATCCACGCTTTCGTGGTCACAGGTTTGGGCAATCCTAATTGCCTTGCATTTAATATACAGCGTCCCGGTTTTTTTAATTGCAGTTGGCTTAATTTGAGCTCTATCTTGTAACGCAGCTTTGGTCGGCAGACGGCGTCGGCGCTGCACTACTGCCACCGCTGCAACGTGCTGCACCTGGATGTGAAGCCCAGCAACATTCTGGTGCACAACGCCGACTGCAAGCTTGCCGACTTCGGGAGCAGCGCTATCAGGGGCACCAAGCCAAAGGCAAGAGAGGACATTTAAGTCCAGCCTCCGGGCTCATCAGCTGAGCCAGTGAGCGGGGATTGTTAGGATTTCAGTTCATTTTGATTATTAGACCTCTCAAAGCACGAAGGCATTACAAAGAGCGGCGGGGCACAGTATATACAAATAAAGCAAATAACCACGAAACGGAAAAAAAGTGCACAAGATCACCACGGAACATCATTACAGATTGGTGCCAATCTTAAAATTATCCGAGGCAGTGAGTGTCGCAATAGCGGAGGGAAGGTGACCCCAGCCAATTGAAGATTGAGGCAAGAAAGAGGCATTATAGGTGGATGTGCTGCTATTTTTACATTTAGGTGATGATCGGTGCGTGATTGTAGGTAAAAGAGTTCAGAAAATAGCGCCTGGCGGAGAGTAGGGTTGGTGTAATAAATATTATGGAAAAAACATTGGATATTTTTCGACGGAAAGAAAGAATAAGCAAGGATAGGGATACTTCCATTAGAGTAGTACTAGCTGTGCGGTGATAGTTAAAAAGTATAAAACGGGCGGAGCGATTTTGGATGAATTCTATGAGAGAGTCAAGGGTGACACCAGAGTTTTAGATTGAGGCGGAATATTCATGTTTAGGACAAATTAACGTTTTATAATTAAGTTTTAATGAAACATAGTCAATAAAAAATTCGTTTGATGTAACCAAATAATTGCTTAACGTTTTTGTGACATTGTCGACATGAATATTCCAGGAAAGGTCATCTGAAATGTGAGCACCAAGGTACTTATAGGAGCACACAGGAAGGAGGGCAGAGTTATTAAAGTAGGAAGGGAAAATGTTAATTTGACGGGAAACACTCATGGATTTACATTTAGAAATATTAAGTTCCATTATCCAGTCGTTGCACCATGGGTAACATTGTTAAGATCGGTCAGAAAAGCAGAGATGACAAAGTCGTTCAGGATTTCTTTGTAAATAAAACAGACGTCAGCAAAAAGGCTCACAGAAGGATAGACACAAGTAGGGAGATCAATTATATAGCTGAGGAATAGTAGTGGACCAAGCGCTGAACCTTTTTGGACACCGTAGTTGACAGGCGAGTGTGAAGAATTAGTTCCGTTGGCATGGACAGACTGTAGACGGTTAGTCGGAAAGGCTTATATCCAAGCAAGAACGTATGGGTATATGTTAAGTCTATTAAGTTAATGAAGAAGGGCGTGAGCAACCTTGTTGAAAGCTTTGAATAAATCAAGGAATATGCAGTCAGTTATGAAACCTTGGTCATGTGCGATATGGAGATTTTGAGTAAAGGTAAGAAGTTGAGTTTTCCATGAGTAGAACTTCCTTAAATCATATTGCGATCTGCTAAGAGTTTGAATCGAGAAAGTTAGCAACTTGAGGGTAAACTACTTGTTCAAGAATTTTGCATGGTATATTCGTTAACGAGGAGGGCCGGATGTTGGATTTTGTTTGCCGCCACCTTTCTGTAGTGGAACCACCTTCCCCGCCTTCAAATTTGATGGCAGTACTCCATGTTGAAGTAACTGAGAAAATAACTTGGATAAGGCTATGCTGGAATACACTTTAGTGTTTTTCAAAACATTAGTGTTGATGTTATCAGTACCTACAGCAGAAGATATTTTTAGGTTATCAATTACCTTTGCAGTTCCTTCACTATCTGCAACATGATATACGGTTAAAATACGGGGCAATAAGAACTAAATGGAATCGAGAAAGATTTAGTAAACACTTTATTTAAAACGAAAAAAAAACACTGTTTATTGGATAATTCCTCTTCGTTAGCATTCCTAAGCGTTATGCTGAAAGAGAAAAAAAGGATTAGCAGCATCCCAAAATTGACGCGGGTTATTTAACAAAAAAAGGTAGCGTATTATTAAAATAAGATTTTGCGTACACTAGCTGCAGTATGGCACGCTGACGTTCGCTTTTTGTTTTCTGACAACTTTCCAGCGAGAAATATTAGTTTTTTTTTCTTTGGTAACCTTTTTAAAAAATGAACGCCGTTTACAGCTCCCTGTAACGCCGAATTAGAGCGCAGCTCTTGAGGAGGAGGAGAGAGGGTACTGAGGGTGCGTCATGTGACCCCGGGGGGGGGGGGAAGGGGCCACCTGACCTCGGGGGTTACGTGACTTTTTTTGGGGGGGTGACCTTAGGGGCGTCGCCGGGTGGCATGCAACCCGGCGACTCCGGCGGGTTGCATGCCGGGTTGCATGCAACTTGGACTAAACACAACCTAGGTTACATGCAACGCGCGGCTACGCTGAAGTGGCCAAGGTGGCCCTTTATTTATTTACAGGATATATTTACAGATACCGTCCGGACCTGGAACCAGTTAGCTGAAGGTGCAGCCGTCGAAACCTTTCTCGAGCCACCTGCCCGAGTGATATCTCGTGGAGCTTTTTTTTTCTTTTTCTTTCACCCGCGCACTGGTGCGCGTCTTTGCGTGTGGCTCGCTTTCTGTGAGCCACATCGCCATCGCGGACACCTAGTTGCTACAAGTCTTCCCCCCCTAGTGGAGCAGTAGAGTTTTGCTCCACGAAACAGTTTTTTGTTTGTTGGAGGGTTCTTGATCAGGCCTGCGAGTGTTGTCTTGCGGCTTCTGCAAGGTGACTGATGAAAACACGCATGCAGTGTCGCAAATTGAGGCTGCCATAAAAGCAGGTTTTACCCGGTCAATGGACACGACGTCGGTTCGTCCGTTGATGATGATGGTGAAAGTCTTCTTGTCTCGGGCGATGACTTTAAATGGGCCGTCGTAGGGTGGTGTTAAGGATGGACGCACGGAGTCACGACGTAGAAACACATGTGTACATGTTGTTAGTTCTGTGTGAATGAAAATTTTCTGTGGTGTTTGTTGTCGAGGCAAGGTCGGTCGCAAAGAGGATAGCAGGTCTCGTAGATCTTGAAGATACGAAGGAAGGTCGGGTGGTGGAGTGGACAGGTGTGTAAGGAACTCGCCAGGAAGTCGCAGTGTTGTTCCAAACACTAGTTCAGCAGCTGTACATCCAACATCTTCCTTCAAAGTGGCCCGGATGCCCAAGAGCACCAAAGGAAGATGGTTCACCCAGTTGGTCCTGTCGTCCTTTGTGATGAGCGAGGCCTTGAGTTGCCGGTGTAGTCTCTCGACCATACCGTTGGCGGACGGATGGTAGGCTGTCGTGTGGATGTGGCACATTCCAAGCATTTTCGCCAGTGATGCGAAGAATGAACTTTCAAATTGCCTACCACGGTCCGTGGTGACGATAGAAGGGCAGCCGTACCGCGCAATCCAGTTGGTGATGAACGCTTGTGCCACGGTTTGTGCGGTGATGTCCGTAATTGGAATCGCTTCTGGCCATCTGGTAAAGCGATCCACGCATGTAAGGATATATCGGTACCCTTGGGATGGTGGGAGGGGTCCGACAATATCGACATGCACGTGGTCGAAGCGGGCGTCTGGTGGTTTGAAAATATGTAGCGGGCTTTTTGTATGACGCTGAATCTTGGAGCGTTGGCAAGAGGTGCAACACCGTGTCCAGAGGCGAATGTCTCGGTTGATGTTGGGCCAGACATATCTCGAGCAGATCAGTCGTTGGGTTGCACGAATACCAGGATGGTTCAGGTCATGGAGGGAGTGAAAAATGGGGCGTCGAAAAACGGGCGGGATGTACGGTCGGGGCGTACCCGTTGAGGTGTCGCATACCACATCGCAGTTTGCAAGTGGTAGAGGTACAGGTCGAAGCTGCAGTGAGGTGGAGGACTCTTGGAGTCTCTGCAGCTCGTCGTCATTCTTTTGGGCTGTTGCCAGTTTGGAGAAGTCGAGGTCAGGTGACGCACTGAGTGTCTCGACGCGTGACAGGGCGTCTGCCGCCTCATTGTTCGCTCCAGATACGTGGCGCAGATCAGTTGTATATTCTGAAATATAAGCAAGGTGACGAATCTCTCGGGTCGAATACGAGGTTCGATTAGCGTGGAAGGCGAAGGTGAGGGGCTTGTGGTCTGTAAGGACGTGGAAAACCCGGCCTTCCAGGAAGTGTCTATAATGCCGTATTGCTGCATAGATGGCAAAGAGTTCGCGACCAAACGTGCTGTAACGTGTCTCCGCCGGCTTCAACTTCTGTGAGAAGAAGCCTAGCGGAAACCAGTCCGTCTGGTTGTACTGTTGTAGCACGGCTCCCACTGCGACATCCGAAGCGTCGACCATAAGTCTCGTGGGTGCGTCTGGTCGTGGGTAAACGAGAAGTGCCGTGTCGACAAGAGCTTGCTTTGTAGTCTTGAACGACTCCTCTGCCATCGAATTCCATTCGACCGGTGATGTGGGACCTTTTGGTGAGCGCAGCAGATCTGTTAAGGGTTTGAGAATTTGGGCGCAGTTGTTAATGAAGCGTCGATGGAAGTTGACGAGGCCCAAGAATTCTCGCAACTTACGAAGTGACTTGGGTTGCGGAAAGTCCTTGATGGCTTCCACTTTCGAAGGTAACGGGTGAATGCCTTCGGGTGTCACTTGGTGTCCTAAGAACTCGAGGTTGGACGTGCCGAAGACACATTTTGCTGCGTTGACGACGAGACCATAGTTGCGTAGCTGCCCGAAGAGTAAGCGCAGATGTTGTTCGTGCTCTTCCGGGGAACTGCTCGCGATGAGGAGGTCGTCAACGTATGCAAACACGAAGGGTAGCCCGCGTGTCACTTCGTGTATAAATCTTTGAAATGTTTGTGCTGAATTTCGAAGCCCGAGGGGCATTCGCACAAACTCGAATAATCCGAACGGCGTGGTGACAGCAGTTTTCGGAATGTCAGCTGGCTCGATAGGTATGTGGTGGTAAGCTTTTACTAAGTCCACCTTGCTGTAAATGGAGGTCCCGTTGAGTTGCTCTGTGAAGTCATGCAGGTGTGGTAGAGGGTAACGATCTGGCAACGTGTTGGCGTTGAGGGCGCGATAATCGCCGCACGGCCTCCAGTCTCCTGGCTCCTTCTTGGGCACCGTGTGTAGAGGTGATGCCCAGCAGCTGTTCGACGGCCGAAT